TGACGACAGAAGTGCTGAAACGCCTGTCCCGGACTCTGGACCCCTGGACAGGCATGGCAAGGTCGGCTCGGCACGAAACTGCCACCGCCGTATGGTCAATGGTGGCATGTCCAGCATTGACTTCCGGGCAAAGCCATGAGGAGGCGATGGTTTGCCTCCATCTGCTTGGCAACGCAATGTAGTCGACCCTACAAGCATGGCCATTTCTCTTCTGCACATAGGTGGCGGATGGGCCAAAGTGGCACTGCTCGAAGGTGGCAGGAATCCAGCACTCGGTCGCTCGAAGCAATCGGTGCAGGAAGGCCCCGGCCATATCCTCAAGTTCAGACGCATGCGTACCGACACTGTTGGACTCGATGCTTCCGACTGCACAATTGCAATCGCCCGCAACGATGACAGGATCCTGCCTCCGGTGCTTGTACGCTAATTGGATCGTGTCTTGCCACCAAGACTCAAGCTTATGTGGCTCAGTAGCTCGGTGTGGCGCATGCAGGGCAATGAAAAGCACATGGAACCCTGGCTTGCCGACACGTACAAAGAGTCTCCGAACATCAGCGACAACGACGCAACAAGCGTTAACCTCAAATTTAAGGCATCGGCCGTCATCGGCTGCGTCAATCAGGCTAGCCCCTTCAAGGAACCACCATTCTGTGCCATACTGGCCACGCTCACTGCCAGACGCATATCGCAGATACCCTCCGACACGAGAGAAGCCTGCATCCCCTCTGGTTTCCTGGAGGGCGGCAACTGTGGCTCCAGCCTGGCGCAGCTGCGCTGCAAGCAGGGCCGCCCGGGCCGGCCCACAGAACAGCCCTTGACCGGCTTCGGGGGCTCGGTCCTCCGCAGCACCAAGAGAAAGCGTGTTGAAACTGAGTATCTGTATGGATAGTGTCATGGCTGTTCTTTCGCCTGGGCCGTCACCCTCGAAAGGTTGGGCAGCACCAACAGGTACAAAGGGTTCGATGATTTGGCACGGGGTAAGGCCTGCATGACACTGGTCGTCGCCTAGATTCGTACCATCAACAGGCGGCAGATCAACTCGGCCCTGGCGGGCTGCAAGAATCACAGCAACCCATGGCAGCCATGGGCCTCCTTGCGACAACCATCTGCGGGTGAGGTCTGAGGCCGCAGAATCTGGGCTCAAGTGTGCTCCGTACTTGGCTAAACTGTCCGCGGCCTCATTAGCGAAATGTCCCTGATGCCCGGGGACGTATTCGAAGTGATCCGGAATGTCCGGGTGTGCCGCGGCTTGCCGCCGTAACTCCGCCGAATGCCGCAAGGCCTGTGGGCAACCCCGGCTCGTGTAACGGTGCGTGCCTTGTGCCACCCCGAGCGCAGCTTTGCAATCCGAAA